GATTCGGCACGAAATCAAGGATTACTTTCAGCCCGAGGGACTTTGCCTTTGCCACGAGCGCATCAAAATCTTCGAGGGTGCCGTACTCCTTGTGGATATTGGTATAATTGGAGACGTCGTAGCCGTAATCTACCTGCGGGCTAGAGAAGATCGGTGACATCCATAGCGCGTCGGCGCCGATGTCCTGGATGTGCTCCAACCTGCTCGTGATACCGTTCAAATCGCCGATGCCGTCGCCATTGCTATCCTGGAAGCTTCTCGGATAGATCTGATATACCAGACTGTTCTTGTACCAATCCTTGGCTGCTTCCGCCGAGCCGGTCAGAACGACCAACACTGCGATGGCAACGCACGAACGCAGCATAGTGACTGTTCGACCGTGATTACTTACTCCAATTGCTTTTATACCAATCGACGAACCTTAGAAAAATTCATAAATGTTGATGTTTTATCGCTTGATAAGCTAACCGGTTACGTTCTGAGCGCATCTAGGAATTATCAATTGATAACGGCACCTTGCATTCTTCGCGATGACGTTTGCGAAATGATATCAAATCATTTCACGCACAACCATCGTGCTACGATTTTTATCTCGCGAATCAATAATCATTGCAAATGCACCCAATTTATTCCGCGATATGCTCCAATCTGCTCGTGATGCCATTCAAATCCCATATAACCATCTATGTTATCTCTACGTTTATCCATCTGTCCTTGAAGCTTCTCGGATAGACTAGGTATATTTTTAATCAATTTCTTATCCACTTTTTTGACTGACGCGGAATAGCACAGAAGTATTGATCAATTACATAAAAAATAGTGTTGTTAAAATTGTTTACCAATTATAAACATATTTAGCTATTATGACGAGAAGATGTGTATGATCAGGAATTGTTTATTAACAATTAACTTAACAAATCAATTATCAATTTGGCTTTTACTTATAATAAATATATCATAATATGATATATCATAATATGACCTATTTTAATAATCAAACAAAAAGTAATTAAACCAAATTATTAAAATTATATTCACATTTAATCATATTATCTTTTAAATTTTGTTAACAAGTTATATAATAAATCTATACCACTCTGGAAGTTATTAGAACAAGCGACACTGCGATAAAGATACGCATCCGAAGCATAACTAATTCGAATCGTCGATTCTAATGCCATGCTTTTATACTTTACGCAGTGAATTTTTACAAAATTTATAGCAGTGAATACGTTGTTGGAATATTATTATTTTTATTTGATAAGCTCGTTTAGTAGCGAATAATTGCATCTTAGAATTATTGATAACGATGACTTACATTTTTTACGATAACAACAAGATAATCTGATTGCTTCCTCTTATATAATTGTTCTTATAATATCATCAGAGAAGCTTTTTACGTTAAAAATATTGATTGCGTGTCAAATGAAAATTTATTGCAATTAAAGCGTTGAAATTTATGGTAAAACGAGTAAAAAATATATATAGTACAAAATTGTGAATTGCAACATTGTTTTGAGCTTATTTGTAAAAGTGCAATTTTGCAAAACTGAAATATTTTTTTACGGATGAATTAATTCACAGTACAAATAATGAAATGCACATAATGTAATGCAAAAAAGTTATGTGCTTTATTACACGTAGAAAGAATAATTAAAATGTCGCTTTGTCACGCCGTAGGGCGATAAGTTATTTTGATAGTTATTTTGATTTAAATGCGTCATGACAACTAATTACAAAAATGTACTTTATTAAAAAGAATTGAAAGTGAGAATAAAGTTGATAATGAAGGAGCGAAAGAAAAATTAGTTGTTAGATAATATGAGGAGACTTTATTAAGGATCCGTCTAAATATTGTTTTGTAGTATGAATTTATATTATCTCATTATACTGGAGGGCAATAAAAAAATTACTCTTATTATTGTTAAAATAAAATTTATTTTATCATAAGAATACACATTTTGTGTACATAGCACAATTGATTTTAAACGCTACCGCAATAATTTTTATTGAAATTAATAACACGTTAATGACAACAAATTTATTTCTAATCGTTTCTTTTTAGAAGATACATTTTCTTGGAATGTTTATTTTCAGATTTACACAAAATGCTCCGCAGAAAAGATGTGTCTATACATATATATATTCGAAAATTTATTTAAAAGTTATTCGTTAGCATCAAATAAACCAAAATTTAGTTATACAAATCTTCGGTGATGTACACAACAGAGGCCGAGCCGGGCAGAACAACGGAAGCCATATTTTGATATGATCCTGGAAGCAGTTTGGAATCTACGCTGGCTACATAGACAATCAACTGCTCCGAAATGTTCAACCAGGTACCAACGTCGACGACGACCTCCGTGTTCGCGAAGTTCACCAGGAGGAGCACGATGCTGCTGGTGCAGAATCCTTCGTGTCGTCGTACCACTCCTAGAACATTTTCGGTGACAGAACACTCGTAACAGTACAACGCAGTCTGTAGGGATCCCTGCGCGATGACAGGCGTCTTCTTTAGTTTCATCAACGCCTTGAACACTTTATAATGAGAGACCTGCTCATCTTTTTGCGCCGCCAAATTTAAAATCTCATAATTTTGGTTTACTGGAAGCCAAGTTGTTTCGTTGGTGGAGAAACCGGCACTGGTGGTAGCGTCCCATTGGTAAGGCGTTCTTTCCGGATCTCGCGATTTCAAGTAATATCTAAAAACCGATAATATCGTCATTAATTGTTAAAAAGATTTATAAATAAATATAAATATAAGCAACTATATAAATATATTTATATAACATATAAACTGATAAAATGATATATTAATAGTTTTATCCAAATTTTATATTAATTTAATATACTTCTTTCGAAATATAGATTTACCATAACTTGTTAACAAAATTTAAAGAATAATATAATTAATTGCGCATATAATTGTAATAATTTGATTTAATCACTTTTTGTTTGACCATCAAAATAGATAATCAGATTTTAATATATTAATTATAGTAAGTAAAAGCCAATTTGATAGTTGATTCACTAAATTAATCATTAGTAAACAATTCCTGATCATATAAATCCTCTTGTGATAATAAATAAATATATTTACGTTAACGGATAAATAATTTTTACAATATTATTTTTTATGTAATTGATCAACACTTCTGTGCTATTATTTTAGATAATAGCTTAATATTTTTATATGTTATTATTAAATAATACTTTTATTACAATTATATTGCTATTATATTTAATATTTAAATAATATTAGTATATAAGAATCAGAAACAAGAAAAGCTATATTTATGAATTTAATTGGATCTATTATGTTACGATAGGAATCTATTTAGACTCATCGTTTTTGTAACCATACCTGTCGGGTCCTGCATTGCAACCGGCAGTATCCTTGGTTTCTTCATACGTGAAATTTCTGTCGACCATGCCGATCTCGTCGCCGTTGTAAATCACGCTTATGCCGGGCAAAATGGTCGCCAGCATGTTAAGCTGATCGGCCCGTTTCTCGCCGAATCTAGTAGCCGCTCGATGATTGTCGTGATTACCCACCACCCAGTTTGCAACGTATTCCGTACCGTTAGGCATGTTTTTTACCCAACGATCAATAGAGTGTTTAAAATCGGCTGCGCTGGATTTGTCATTCAGATCGGCAATGAACATGAAGTTGAACGGCACCGTCGAGCCCGACAGATAGTACTTTATGGTGAGATCGAAGTCCGCATAGGCCTCGGTCAGGATCATCTTCGTGTCAGCGGTCGACGAGTGATTGTCCATCAACTCCCTCCAAGTCGCGAGAACTTCATAAGTCTCCGGGAGATTTTTCGTGTAAATGTGATCCAAGTAGTCGGTGTCATTGGACGGTACGTCTTTATTACTTCGCGGCTCGTCCAAGAATCGGGAATCCTCGTACATATGATTGATAGCGTCAATGCGGAATCCCTCCACGCCCCGATCCATCCAAAAAGTCAATACATTCTTCATTTCTTCTCGCAAATCAGCGTTGTGGTAGTTGAGATCCGGTTGTCCGGCGGCGAACTGATGCAGATAATATTGCCCGCGTGTCTCGTTTTTCGTCCAAGCGGGACCCCCGAAAACGCTCAGCCAGTTGTTCGGCGGCTCGGTACCGTTCGATTTCCCATCCTTCCAGATGTAGTAGTCGTCGTAGGGCTTGACCCTGTCGATACTCTTAAGGAACCATTCGTGCTGGTCGGAACTGTGATTCGGCACGAAATCAAGGATTACTTTCAGCCCGAGGGACTTTGCCTTTGCCACGAGCGCATCAAAATCTTCGAGGGTGCCGTACTCCTCGTGGATATTGGTATAATTAGAGATGTCGTAGCCGAAATCTACCTGCGGGCTAGAGAAGATCGGTGACATCCATAGCGCGTCGGCGCCGATGTCCGCGATGTGGTCCAACCTGTCCGTGATACCATTCAAATCGCCGATGCCGTCGCCATTGCTATCCTGGAAGCTTCTCGGATAGATCTGATATACCAGACTGTTCTTGTACCAATCTTTGGCCGCTTCCGCCGTGCCGGTCAGAACGACCAACGCCGCGATGAGAACGCACGAGCGAAGCATAGTGACTGTTCGACCGTGATTACTTACTCCAATTGCTTTTATACCAATCGACGAACCTTGGAAAAATTCATAAATTTTGTTACATTTTCGCTTGATAAGCATATCCGGTTACGTTCTGAGGGCATCTAGGAATTATCAATTGATAACGGCACTTTGCATTCTTCGCGATGACGTTTGCCAAGCGATATCAATTCATTTCATACACAAACGTCGTGCTACTACTTTTATCTCGACCCGCAATAATCATTGCAAATGCACGCAATTATTCCGTTTTGCTGTCTTTACAATATATGACTTACGAAGATAGAAGAAGTTGACGCAAATATTTACTGAAATAATCATTGCTTGAACTCATGATCGCTTGAAGCGTGGCCGCGAGCGATCGATACTGTTCCACAAAACCGCGCGTCTGCCGCGCATTTCGCGATGAATCCACCGATTACGCTGATTTTGCATTACGAATTTCGAGATAATAATAACGCCACGCCGCAGATTTCACCGCGAAGATCTCCAGCTGCCGAGTGCTCGCTGCTGATACGCGCGTCCTCGCCGCTCGGCTCGCTGCAGATCGACGCGCGGCCACGAGAATCGATTTCGCCGGGGCGCCGCGCTTTAGAAATTCGCGGAATTGCACGACCCGCGCGCGCTATTATAACCTCGCTCGCTTAGAGTTAGACAGGAAGAGATTTGCCCGTTTTTCCCGCGAAAAGCGCACGACCTCGGTATATCGCCCAGCATCGCGCGCGTAACGTCGTCTTGCGGCCGACCGATAAGGCCTTTCGATCCGCGCCGCGGCGCGCTTTGAAAAATGGCAAACATTCAGTCCCGCACCATCTCGCGTGCGCGAGGCGTTTATGCGTGCTGGCCTCGTAACTGCTATCGCCCGATCTAACGCCTAATTATACAGGTGGTTCGCCACCCCGCGTTTCTTACTTTTCTCATACGGCATCGTCGCGAGGGTCAATTTAATCTTCGCGCGCGAGCGCCAAGAGCTTTCCGTCAGGAATAAATTCGCTATTACCGCGAAAAAACGTTGACAGGAATCCGTTTTTTTTCTCTCTCTCTCTCTCTCTTTCCTTTCGTTGAAGGCCATTTTTCATCGCTCTATACGCGCGTCAAAGTACTCGAGTACGGTACGTCAAATTTGTGCCTCTATATATACACCTCTAAAATTCAATGGCCGATACTCTTTGAAATAAACTTCCTCTTATAATATGATAAAGCGCCATCGTTCAACATTCTCCGGGAAGTTGCATTATAAAGAACGCGGTGGAAGTCTCGATACAATGGGGAGGAGAACAATTCCCCGCGCAAAAAAAAGAGGAGAAAAAGGAAAAAACCGAGTAAATCGAGGTTGCGAGATAATTTATCGTGCATCGAATGCGAAAATGATATTATTATCTGTGACGGGCTTACAATGCCGTGTTGCTTTTCCGTATTTTTATTCGACGCTTGATAGATAGCGAATAAATCAAGCGGAGGGAAGCAACACGTAATGGCGAGTGTGGTGTCAAGGTGTACGTCAGTGAAAGAGATTCCTCTTTATGCAGAAATCTGGCGCTATCACGCGATCTCGAATAGTCTTACGGTTCCCAAGTTGCGTAATAATTTCCAGCTATGAATATATATCACCTACCGTTTTACACGTGCTTCCCTTTGCAAAATCGTCTGATAAATGGAAAAAGTCTTGAAGCAGCCCTTTTACATCCCCACTCCCTTTCGCTCCTGCTTGCTCGCTGCCAGTGTCCAGATACTTTGAAACACTCGTCCGAGAAAGGCGGCTTTGCGTTCTTTCGCATTCAATTCTTTGGTACGTTTTGTCACATATGGGTTCGCGTTTGACGTTTAAATACGCTTGTTGACAAATCACTCAGATAGATTTATGCTAATTAAGGATAGGGAGAAGGATAGGGGAAGCGATAACGCTTATTGTGAAACAAAGACGAAGTTGACGAAGTGCACGCTCGTGCACTGCATGCACTCAGGGAAATGTTTCGCTGTTCCAGCTAGAATTCTAAATATTACATTTAAATTATATCGCTGTTTTTCGTATCTGCTAAAAAATTGTCTGTCATACATAAAATTTATAGCGGCAATATTTTAAGAATATAGGTATGCAAGAAAATATAGGTCTCATAACCAAATATGATTGGAGTCTTGGACTGATTAAACGTCATAGAGAAACTTTCTTGCTAAATTTGACAAATAGTTCAGATATAATTTCTGTCTGTTATCTATATTGATTAAATACAAAACATATGTGGTATCGCAGTGCTTACTAAAAAGCACTTTTTTGTTTTAGCTAATTTTTTGTACCTAAATAATTCTCGCTGTAATTGCAAGATTACTTTTTTCAGAGTGCATTGCGATGAGCGTCAGTCACTTATGAGTCTCGCTTGGAGTCTCATAGAGTTTCTCACTAGCATTTGATCATATAGCATATTAACATATTGTACACACAAGCATGTAACAGTGAAATAAAGATTTTCATATTCAATCAACTCAAGCCTAGTAAATCCAATCATTTAGCAAAAATATAACACAAAACAACGCGCGTGTTAAGATTCTCCGAATGAGAAACGGCGAACACACAAATCTTTCCCATGTAACGTAAACACAATTTCCTTAATATTAATGAAAGGAAGGAATGAAAAAAAATCGTCACTGCGTACAAAAACTTAATGAGGCAATTAACGAAAAGTTGAATATCTTTCTATTGTTCCAATGGCCTCTATGCGTCGAGCAAGCTCTGTTCAAGTCAATAATGAAACGAATGAAAATATAAGCTTCTCTTCGCATAAATCGTTTGTAAATCCGAGCGGTAGAGATGCAATTTTGTATGATTGCGTTTATACAAGCTGAAATACCTGACACAATCGCGAAAATGGTGAATCAGTATAAAATAATATTAGTGTAAAATAAGCCAAAATGATACATAATTAAATTTAAAAAAACAGAAATTTTTTTGAATAAAGTTTCATTTTTTTTAGAAAATATAGGGACTTGACTGATTTCTTCTTGCATTTGAAAAACTAAAAGATCGAAAATACGTTAAAAACAATCTGTTCTAATTTAATTTGTAGAATACAACCTTACGACAAAATGACTAACATTTTCAACAATATCTCGACTAAATAAGAAATAAATGTATAAGAAATACAATTATTCTTTGTCTTACACAAATTCACTTGTCTATCTTAAGAGTCAACTGATTGAATTAGATAGTCCCGATTGTAAACAAGCGCTACAGAATCTTTGTATCAGCGAAAACCGTTACATCAAATAAATGAGTGCACGCGTACTCGATTAACTTTCAAAGTTGTCTCTCTCGTAAACAAGGCTCCATTTAAAAAGAAAATTTGTTCTATCATTCCGGCTTATTTTGAACCATGAAATAGTGAATTATTTTTATTAAACGGTTATGACAGTAATTGCTTTAAAACAACCGGTTTTTTAAATTATTATTCAATTAAACTATTACTAACAATTTAACATAATATTATTAGAAAAAAAACTTAATTAATTATCGGTCAACTTTAATTAAACGGTTACTGTTCTTATGAATAGTTATTCAGTTTTGAAATATTGATTGCGTTCCACAAAAAAAAAACAGCTTTACAACTATTAAAAGATTATCGTTTGGAATATTCCGATTGGAATATTTTTGTAGACTCTTGATACTACTTTTAGATTCTCCATAACTCTTAGTCATTGTCACTTGATGGTTACTTTATCGGTTAGTTACCGATTAGAGAGTTCATTTCCGAACAGTGCCTGCAACGGGCAAGTAAAGTTGCGAACGATTAGATTGATTGAACAGTCGATTAGTATTTTAAAAACATTATTGTTATCGTAAAATTGTGATTTGATGAAAATAATGATTTAGTTCATTGACCGTTATTTTTCAAATTTGATAACAGTAAGTAGAAAGTTATTTTT